GAACCACCGACCCAAGAGAAGCTACTGGCAAGCTTTCTCACCTAGCCACTTTCGCCGAATCTTAAACTCGAACCCACACATACATAGGTGAGATGGCAGTGATCCGTAACGGAGAGCACTTTAAACCGCTCGGCCACTCGGCTCGAAATTTATTGTACGACAGCAATAGCTTGACTACGCACTATGTTTTTAATGACCTCTTTTTGATTTAATATTGTCTTCAGTGGTTATGTTTTGGACTTTAAAAATGTATTTAAATATTTATTTCTCTTTGATTGCAATCTATATGCTTTATTCCTCAGCATGCGATTTATGCCAATATTGTATAAACCCAACTATTGACCGCTTCTACACACCGGCTATGCGCATGCTTTATAAAAATAGTTTTGAGTAATATGTACAGCTTATCGGCGTAGAATTATCACATAGCAGATTGGTTTCATTTCTAATAAGTGCAGCTAAACTGTTACTGCACATATAATATCATACTAGGAACTGGCAATCCTTTCCGTCAATGATCGGAAATAAACTCACCTTGTAAATACTGTAGCACCTACATACACCTTAATTACCACATGACGTGGAACAAAAACGTCTTTTACTGAACTTGTGGAACAATAATTCCCAAACGATACCATAATGATTTGGGTATGGTTCCATTTTTCATTGAGCACTATAGTATGCGAATGAGTTCTTGCGCAATTAACTATTTTTCCCATCTTACACTAAAAAGTATATGCGAGGAGTAATTTTGGAGAAATATCTTGAGGTGCTGTGAACGTAGTAACCGAAGGTAAATGTGACTTTAATACAGGCAACGTCTGTAACACAATATTATAAATGAAAGAAGAACGATGCATATTATATTCCATCTTTAATTCTCTCTCTCTCTCTCTCTCTCTCTCTCTCTCTCTCTCTCTCTCTCTCTATATATATATATATATATATATATATATATATATATATATATATATATATATATATATATATTATATATATATATATATATATATATATATATATATATATATAATAGACCGAAATATCGTCGATAATCGCTGAAATTAACAATCCAGCTGAGAATTGTAAGAAAGGAATATTTATAACGTATATATTATTTTTTTAATCCGGAAATTTGCATTTCTGATATCCTCAACCCCCGCCCAATAAATAAACCAAAACTCTCAAGAAAATAACTGAAAAAAATACAAAAACATCAACCAAATATAAACAAACAAGTACAACACTCCCACCCATGAAAAATCAAAACAATGTGGAATACATAGGCTATATGTTAGTTGCGGTTATTTCGATGCACGGAGGTACCAGAAACAATAAGTTGCACTGCGTCTGATGACGACTTTACTGAGTCAATTAATTAGGAAAGACATTGCCACAACAAGCTTACAGTCAACCTGAAATCACGTTTGGATGCTGCAAACAGACATATGCTCTAGGAAAGACATTGCCACAACAAGCTTACAGTCAACCTGAAATCACGTTTGGATGCTGCAAACAGGCATATGCTCTAGGAAAGACATTGCCACAACAAGCTTACAGTCAACCTGAAATCACGTTTGGATGCTGCAAACAGGCATATGCTCTAGGAAAGACATTGCCACAACAAGCTTACAGTCAACCTGAAATCACGTTTGGATGCTGCAAACAGACATATGCTCTAGGAAAGACATTGCCACAACAAGCTTACAGTCAACCTGAAATCACGTTTGGATGCTGCAAACAGGCATATGCTCCAGGAAAGACATTGCCACAACAAGCTTACAGTCAACCTGAAATCACGTTTGGATGCTGCAAACAGACATATGCTCTAGGAAAGACATTGCCACAACAAGCTTACAGTCAACCTGAAATCACGTTTGGATGCTGCAAACAGACATATGCTCTAGGAAAGACATTGCCACAACAAGCTTACAGTCAACCTGAAATCACGTTTGGATGCTGCAAACAGACATATGCTCTAGGAAAGACATTGCCACAACAAGCTTACAGTCAACCTGAAATCACGTTTGGATGCTGCAAACAGACATATGCTCTAGGAAAGACATTGCCACAACAAGCTTACAGTCAACCTGAAATCACGTTTGGATGCTGCAAACAGACATATGCTCTAGGAAAGACATTGCCACAACAAGCTTACAGTCAACCTGAAATCATGTTTGGATGCTGCAAACAGACATATGCTCTAGGAAAGACATTGCCACAACAAGCTTACAGTCAACCTGAAATCACGTTTGGATGCTGCAAACAGACATATGCTCTAGGAAAGACATTGCCACAACAAGCTTACAGTCAACCTGAAATCACGTTTGGATGCTGCAAACAGACATATGCTCTAGGAAAGACATTGCCACAACAAGCTTACAGTCAACCTGAAATCACGTTTGGATGCTGCAAACAGACATATGCTCTAGGAAAGACATTGCCACAACAAGCTTACAGTCAACCTGAAATCACGTTTGGATGCTGCAAACAGGCATATGCTCTAGTGATGTCAGTTGGTTGAGTTGTTGGAATGGTGACTGTCAACAAAGCAACACATGTAGGTTATTTAGTTTCGAGACGATTTGAGCAAAATGTCTTTTCCATGAGCATACCAATTAATCAAAAGCAAAACATTCTTTGCTGGTGAGTTTGGAGCCCTTATTTTTTTCTGGTGCAAATCAGAAATGATTTTCTATGATTCTCTGTGGTGGCTTAGTGAAGGAATATGAATATGACACGAGGAATGAAAAATAAAAGATTTTAAATGGTGCGACCAAACAATAATAGAGCCTTTGCTCTATCTAAAAGCATTCAATGTTAGAGCCAAGTTCGGACAGTTTTCCAATGCTTGACTGCGACTGCTCTGTTTGAAAAAGAAGAAGAAGAAGAAGAAGAAGAAGAAGAAGAAGAAGAAGAAGAAGAAGAAGAAGAAGAAGAAGAAGAAGAAGAAGAAGAAGAAGAAGAAGAAGAAGAAGACGAAGAAGGAAGGGGGAAGAGAGAGAGAGAGAGAGAGAGAGAGAGAGAGAGAGAGAGAGAGAGAGATTGTACCTACCAAGAAAACAGAAAACTCTGTCAGTTATATGCATGGTAATGGTAACACATCTATCCAATTAGACACCTTGTCCACCGACATTGTTTCACATTTGGAGAAATTTTTTTCTTCCTAATCCTGATTAACAATGCTGAGTAATTGCTCAATCGTTCTCAGTGTGTCCCATTATAAGAAGAAACACTACCAAATTCACTGCAGCATATGAATATGACAAACGATAAATAAAACCAAAATCTACTTATAAATGGTGACCTACCTGCCGGTATTGAAGACATTTTACTATCCGTGTTGACCATTATATTAATTGTCGGACCGTTTCTTCGATAACAATGCATAAAATTAGACAACAGAGTTAACTGAAAAAATTTACGACGTTTATATATTCATTAAAAGTAACATCTTTGTACTGCAAATTGACCTAAAGCCTGCAGTAAGTAGCCTTGTGTACCATGAGCGGGAAATCAGGCAATTCATTTAATATAATGATACAAAGAATGTGGTGATTTATTACATTTTTCAAACCCGTCCAAGAACAGAACCTCCTGCTGTCTCTACTGGTCAAGAACCATGTAGTATCTTGTAGCATCACCAAGCTAAGATCAACTCGGACAGACAAAATACACTTTACCATAATACATGTCTCGGATTGTCAGCATCATCGTCACTGACCAAATGCTGATATCATATCACCCACCCCTTTTCGACCCCTTAGATCGATCACACCAGGATCTACTGCAAATAAATGTAAAGGCAACCTACAATCATTACATGCAAAATATACTCCAATGTCTTGAAGTCAACGTCGTGTAACTCTCGAAGCTTCAGAGAACAACTCCCAGATCCCAGAAATTAGAGCGGGGAACGAATAAACTGCGAAAACGCATCGAATACTTTCCCAAACAAAAGGTGTTAGCATACATCACCTTATTAAGCATTTGTATGGCAGTGCATCCATCGGGTGAAAATGCAAGAAAGACACAAAGGTCATTGCTGTGAAGATATGTTTAATCCTTTTTCTCAGTTTACATGTAGACACTGAGTGTTTCGCTGATGTATAGAGTTACTAACCATAACTGAGAAAATGGAATATAAAAGCTACAGTATAAGAGGCATGAAGCTGGTTGATAGTTTTGCAAGCTCGTGTACTTATTTTGTGCACACATACGTTAGCAAAATGATATCAAAGATTATACGCAAATTATAGAAGTTCTTGATGACGATGTTTATTCAAAAGAAAGGCGTGCACTGATTACAGATGATATGGATGCTAGAGCTTTAGATAAAGCATTTCCAAGTGTAAAGATTTAAAATACATTCTCATATGGAATTGTATCCAAGTTATCAATGTATACGAAACTGCTCTGAATAGAAGTAATCATATTACCGTCTAAGAACGATGCTTGACTATGAATTTAAGGACAATATTTTCAAATTCATTGTATCTAGCTGTGAAATAAATGATGAACGGAAAATGTTCATAATATCAGATGCCAATAGACCGTTTAACCGCCAGGCAAACTTGACTGCTGCCTATTGAGCCATGCTTTAAATGGGGTGGGTGGCTAAACGACGTACATTGTCAGGTTATCAAATTATTCTCGTTAAATATGTTTACTAAATAATGAAATTAATCAATTATTCAACTGAACGTGTATTAATACGACTGAATAGTTTATAATAATCGATGCCCATAGGGAGTGGGTGTATGTGTGTTTGTGTGTGTCTTAGATGTTTAACGTAGATTTAACAATTTTTCGGTCATACCGTTAAAATGTGGGAGTTAAAGTTGATGTCTAACACTGAGGCATCATGCCGAAGACACGTAGCTTGATGTCCCATCCAGTCACATTATTTTGAAGCCAGGCCGTCCAGTCCTATTACTAACCTCTTAATGCTTTTCGCCTAATGAGGCAGCTGTTAGGACCATTTTTAGGAGTCTTTGGCATGACTCGGCCTGGATTCGAACCAACGACCTCCCGCATCCGGAGCGGTCGCTCTAACCACTAAGTCACCGAGGGAATATGTGCAAAGAGGAAGGTTCGCCTAGTGAGCCAAATACTCTTGCAACTGCCCTGCTGATAATTATGTCTCTTTTCTGCTAAGTTCATACACAGAACAGCGTGTGCCAGAGTTAACGAAAGTATAAAATGTAATGGAGACCCGCGACTATTGAAATGCACTGATGACTAACTTATAAGAATATCGAGCAAAGGTTACCTTGGTTTGACATAAAGCAGTAGGAGTTAACAAAGGTTATTTTAGACCGCTATATGTGGACGAAACAATGCTGCCCGTTAGCATTTGCAGGGGTTGGGAGAAGGGTTTCCATGTAAGTCTCTGACTGTCATGGTAGCATGGTGACCAAAACAAACACACCAGTTAGATAATTTATGAGACTATGAGATTAAGTGAGTGTAGTTGGAATTTTATTTAAGAGCTATCATTTGTTAACACCCAGCTGTCAGTGTCGGTATTTGATGCTTTATGCAAGAAAGCCACTGACTTTTTACGTTACCCATATAATGCATATCGATAACCTTCAAGTTAGAATATCTAGTCGGAAGATCTTACTACGAAAAGATAATTAAGTTTAAAGTTTCATAGGACGCAAGAGCAACAAATGTGGCAAGCTTAGTAAAACAAAGACCACCCAAATCAGTTAACAAGTGATGAACTAACTACACATCAATTGTATACACAGGTTACTATGTTACTATGCTATTCCTTTATAAACCATGGGTCTCAGAGGGTCACATATATGCACCTAGATGTCCTTCGTCCATTACAACCATCTTCGGCAAGAAGTTCTTTAATACATACTGCGCCTTAGATAAAGAGGCATGTGTCGAGAAGGCACAGTTGCTGTTCATCGTATATGTAAAAACCAACCAACTGAGACGCATATAACTATTGTCCCAAAGACGTTATACAGAAGGTTCGTAGCGAGATTTTGGCTGAGACATCATACAACAGTATTTAAATCGCCCTGGAGCAAGTGCATATCGCTGCCTCATCTCAGCAGTCTCGTATTTAGAGAAAGGTTAGGGAAAATATAATTCAGTCACACACATACACCATCCAAAAGCGGTAATCCACAGCCACATGGGATGGGTAGAAAACTGACAACGAATAATTTGATATGCTAGAGGAAATGCTAGACCCCGAGAACAGCAGTCAAGTCATAAGCTACCACGTAAACCAAGCCAGCCCCTACGCCGCATATGCGCACACCTGTTGCACGGAAGTTACGTACAACGCCATCAAGGCAGTCACCCATATCAGCCCCTAGGTTATCCAAACCGGCCAAACGACGGGTCAGGTGGAAGCCCCCACGGACAAAATTGCCCCTTCTCTATTTCCTGTTAGACGCATATCTTTGCCTTTTCCTGTAAAAACTGATGGTCGTGCAGGAAGGATAAAATCGTTGTCGACCGTCAAGCCATGATATTAAGAAATAATTCACTGAACACTGACTTCTCTAAGGAGTTCAACTAATCGTCCCCAGGACTGATCAAAATCCAGACAGGAGATCGGAAATAAGGATGGCAAGTTTATCTTTATCTTTAAGGATCAGTTAGAAAGGATTACAGCAGAAGTTTATCAGTCAAAGAAACAGAAATTTCTTTGTTGGCCAGTGACTTCGCAGAAGTGGTATTAAGGCCTAACTAAGTTTTATGTGTAGCTTGAAATGTTCACAAACAAGGGCTCATGTACGTGGATGTGAAATCCAGGAAGGTAAAGCTCTGCAATTTGTAACATAGTTTCAAGGCAAGAGATACCGAAGTGGATCACCAGTATAGCCGCCATTAAAAGCAAACTACGAAAAGGTGAGATGATGGAATTAACCATTTTTACCCTACCGATAACCACACCAATCATAGCACCAATTTAAGTACATATCATGGAACACTTTGATTTAAAAAAATTAAATTACATATGAAAGTCTCTGACCTTACCAAGTTTAAAAGTCTCATCCGCAACATTTTTGCTTGAGTTCAATTTCTTTACCCTATACGTTTATCCGATAAAGCTCTAGATGAAAGCGTCAATCTGCTACTGCTGTCGGAGGAAGACAGTCAACACGAGATATGGGTAAAAGAGTTGTAGCATTAACAAGCAAACAAAATCGTGACCACGTCTGCTGAAAATGTCAATAAGGCCGATGCACTGATCACAATGATATCCTGTAGCTACAGCTAAGTCCAGAGTAAACGGAATTCCACATAATGTGGAAATGCGACGGTCATCTTCTGATGGAAGCTCTGAAAAGGCCAAAATGGCCGAACTTAATGCCATTCTGAACTAAAAGGAAGCATATATGACTTTTGTCCTGGCCAGAAACATCTGTCATTTGTTAACCTGAAGCCTAACCAAGCCAACTGACAACATCCCCTCCAATAGGTATCTATCATTAAGATGATGTCGATGGGTGGGGTTGTTTTGATGGGACGCTGATACCATAGAAGCAATCTATAACAAGATTAACGGCACGTGTATATCATCGGAGTACTATCATTCCGCTCGAAAAGCAAAGAATTATTTTGTCTGAAAAACTATGGGAGACTGTCACGACCTTTACCTTAAGAGCGTCATTCTCTTTCTTTTGGTTATCTTCGATCATATGCTTGAAGACATGGCATAGACCTATCCATTACTTTAAGAATCTTGGAATGAGTTGGAGCTCTCCCTGTTGTAAACTATGGATGCAGATATCTCGTATGCTGACAGACATTGTCTTTATTGACCGAGGATTTTAGTGCGGCATTGACAGACACGCAGATAAGGAATATATCGGTGTCGCTACCCCCTGTACCCAGTTGCTACTGTGAATACCTTAAAGACTGTTTCATAAATAATCGTTTTTAACTCGTGTTGACCTTTGAAACCAATGATACCATGTTCAAATAGGCAGAACCCACTAACCGCTTCAGAGTCCAGTATTAATAACATTTCATAACTCATGAGGCACCAAACATACAAGAGATATCTGCACATGACAGTCCATTTAAATATAAATCAGTATGTCCCACATTCCTAACTGTGTAGCAGTGTTAAATGTTGTTTTACTTATAGCTTGTAGTTGTTCTTATTATTTTATCGTATAAGACGAAATGATACATTACTGAAATAAATGTTGACACCATTGTACAAATTATTATTGTGAAGGATTCGTTTGTAGAAATTAAATATAAACGATACATGAATGTCAGTCATCCACTTGCAGAGAATAATTTTCATGTTCATTGTATATTTGTATAATATTGATATGGAACTATTATTTATATTTAATGATGCTTATGCAGTAGTCCTAGGCATGCAAAACTAAAAAAACGAAATAATAAGAGATTTCGAAATTTGCCTAAAACTAGCTTTTTAAATTACCAGCGGTTGACGTTCGAACCAAGTGAATTATTTTTGATTGGATTCTCCGTTAAGTGGGTTGTTAAAGTTACGTCATGATTGACTATTTGTGTACAAAATTGAACACAAATAATTATAATGTATCTCTTGTCTCTCTGGCATCCAATAAATTGTTTAAACTCAGCCAGTATACATTAATGATTTAGTAAATGGTTACAGTGGCCTACATTTTTAAAGTATTATAATTATTTTATAATATTAAATGAAAAATGGCTTTCATAGAGGTACCAATGTTCTTCTTAACATTTCTCATTTACTTCAAGTGTGGGCTTTAACCTTGTTGCAGACTTCCATTTTGATGAATCGTCGAACACATCATTTTGAATTTAGAAGTCATTTTAAACTAGATATAGGTACATAAAGGGATATACAACTCTCAGCATTTTTATGTTTATTGATTTCATTGCAAAACGCACAGAGGTACTAACAAGTGTCCAATACATAAAAGGTCCGATATTGTTAGTTACAAAATGTACTTTTGTAACATTTTCTCCTGCTTCAGATATATCGCTGCAAGCCATTGACACAGGAAATGTTCCGAGACTTTCATGAATTCCATATAAATCAACAATTATCACCACAATAAAGTCTTTACAAACAGAAAGACTCATAATGTATCACTAAGGTGAAAAGGACTCTTAATCGAACTAGGTATATATTTGAATATAAATTTTATGAAAGTGTCTTCAATACTGAACAATATCTGCTGGCATTTTACTGCATGAAGTTTAAGTATGATCAGCATTAGACCTGTCTCTTCAATCAAAACGATATCTTCATCATTATTTTAAGAATGCTATATATTATACACATATTTGTAATGATAATCATATATGTTTTGTCTCATCTTGTTTCTTCTTGGTTTTGTTTTACTTCATATTTCACTAATTGTTATATGAATATACATTGCTTTGCATACGTGAATCTATCCTCGTTTGCTTTAGCAATCTTCTAGAGTTTTTGGGCTTCTTTTGTCATTATTTACATCGATATCGTAATATAGGCTGTGAAATGTATTTTACCATTTTATAAATTCCATTCCTACAGATTTGACCGTAACACGTATGTTCTGCTTTAACGTGATTCATTCTTTAAACATTCACAGTTTACACATACACCCCAGATTATATTTCATTTGAAACAGTAGTTTCGAAGCAACGAAGTGCAAAACGAAAGGAATATTCAACATAACAAAATCAATAAACAAAACACAAAATAAATTTGATTGACACAGGAAGGGGTGTAATTACTAATTGTAAGCATTATTATTTTACACTTTGATATAAAGAAATGTTAGATAATTACATGGTGTTAATAATCTTTGTTATCATAGTATTGCATAACAATCTATAATTTATATTTTATTTTTAGTTTCAAATTACTCCATAACAAACCAATGATACTAACGTTGTAATACAAATTGAAACCTTATTTCCAAAATGTGCTGGCTAATTTTATACTTCTATTTTCGTGTTCCTCTAAACAAGTGCAACATCATGATCCAAATAATATATATACAAATGCTTTATATTGGATTGACATATTTTATATAATATATACTGGTCTTAATTAGTCAATTAAGACGCTTACGATAATG